ATGTCACAAATAGATATGTGCATTTGTTTCATGATCCGCTTAACAATAGCTGAATGCTGGCCATTTTAAGACCGAAAATGCATTAAAATCACGTATTTTCACAATTCCGGAACCAGATCTCAGTCATGCATGGATGGATTTTGTTCAGATTTAGTACAATGTGTTGTACATATGCAGGTGCATTTCGGTCATGATCTGCTTTGAATGTATATGTCACTCAAATATGAACGGAACGGGGACGTGTCATTGACAATGACTTGTTTACAATAAATTACCTGCAAGCAAAAATTTTGCTTCTGTAGTTCTTTGTGTATTCTGAACCATTTACATTGATCAATAGACGAATCACACATTCAGTTGCAAATACACCTGACATCCAGGCATTTATTTTAATATATGCAGCAGAAATTTGAGGAATATACATTTTAGAGACAAGAACACTGGGACAAAACCAGAATTGAACCATGCCATTTACAGTTTTGCTCAACATCAACAATATAAGCAGAAAGATTGTTAGCGGAGTGGAAATCAGTGGCTTATCTTGACTTGTCAGTATTCAATGGCAAGAAGTTAAATACAACCATTATTATTAACAATGGCACCACTAGCTTTGTTTAGGATAGGATAGAATATTTTATTTGGAGCATACACAAAAATATGATGCTCTAAAAATCTAACCATTAAACCTTGAAAAATTTTTTTTTTTGTGCCATGGCGACAGTTCCGGACATTGAATGTCACTGTTGTCTCTCCTGACTTTTTTTTGTATGTGCAAATTACAAGTGCTGACACATAGTGAATTTTTGCCACAGAAGTCATATTCAAGTTTGACAGGGCTGTGCGGCTGTCTTCTTATCAAATGTCAATTTAATGCGATATCCTGTCGTCAACCAGGCTCGGTTGAACACAAGCACCTGCAGACCTTAATTAAGGTTCCCCCCAAAGTTGCATTCATTAGTGAATGAATCTCGGCCAGTGGGTTTGGACTTCCCATTGATAAAAAAAATTATCCATAATTTCCATAATCTGGATGAAAAGTAAAGTTGAATGTTTCTATTGTTATGTCATGTTACATCGTTATGTTACACAAAAAGGAAAAAGAAACTGAGAATTTTTAATTGATACAAAACAAGGACAAACATATTTAGATTATCAATGCAAATTATTAACATTAAAAGCAGTCCTTTATTTCATTGAAACAGCATTTTCTATTGGAGTCAAAATTAGCCAGTAAACTGAGTTTTTTTTTTAGAAACATTGTCTGTTTTCTATAACTTTTTTCATTTTTCTGCTGTAGGTTTTTTGTATTAAAGGGGAACTAAATAGAGCCTATTTTGGTATTTGTATTTATCAAGTTATGTATATTGATTATAAATTTGAAAATTTTTTAAAAAAAAAATGATTATCTTCGGAGTTATGATGATTTAAATATGAGAAACCATAAACCTGCGAAGGACTTCCGTTTGCGCCATCTTGTCATAAAAAAACGCCCTCATGAGGTATAAACAGGTAAGGTAACAAAGCATGATGACGAAATAGTATCTGATTAAATATAAGCAACTTAGGGAGCCATAGCTGGCTGGACTGGTGAATTGACTTCTAGTCTAGGTTGTTTCGACTTTTACGTTAATGTTATTTACAAGCGTATCGACATACAAACATTATGGATGTGCGATTGATCGAGACAGGCATTTTGTTTTGTTTTTTGTCTAACTGTCTAATAAATGCTGTTTCCAGTACTGCACTGTGCGGCGTGCAAATTATTCAAAGTATGGATGCTGGAGTATGCAATCTTGAGTTCGTAGGGTGGTGGTGGAAACATTTTCGTTCATGTATTCACGGGGCTGCACTGGCAAATCATGGGACAAGTGTCACAGGAACACCAAGCAGATTGTTCACAGACTTCCGTGTAATTTGAAATAAAACTTTCATCCGAACAAGGGGCATCGTCGACGATATACTCTCATCACTCACACTGGACTGATCTGAATCTTCACAGTATACCGTACTTCCCTGATCATAAGCCCGGAGGCATGAACGCGTAAAGGAAAAGTAAGGAATGAGCTTGTACTCGAGGACCAACTCAGAAAAAATGATTTTGTTTTGGGGTTAAACACTGTA